CTCGCATGACAAATAAAATTCACATAAAAACACTTTGCTTGACGCAACATCTCTCATATGTTTGCTAATTTAAAAAGCGCGACAAGAGATTTGTGTGCGCGGTGAATGATCCCAAAAGTGGTGCGAAATATTCATGATGATGATTGCAGAGTTGTCCAGTTAATTGAGAGCAATGCCATTTAGATAAGGATTGAGAGTGAAAAGGACTTTATATGGAAGATATCAATTTCTCATTTTTTCCGTTTTGCCTTTATTGACTATCGCCAAAAGTATTTGTTAATTTTATGAGTGCAAATTGATATTGATTTTTATGTGCTTTTAGTCGTTTAACCAAGGGGAAAATCATTCGCGATTTCAGACCATTAACTCTGTGATTATTCAATAATTTTTTTTCGTAATTGTTTTTTAATTTGAATTTTTCCATACAAATTTTACTAATTTTTTGATTGTTCTCTGAATATTTCATTAAAATTAAAATATATTTAAATTTTAAAATATTTAAATTTTTTATTATTTTCTCCATATATTGCCGCTATAAGGCAACCTGTTTTGGCCCTGTCGTTAAAGCTCTGGCTTTTGACTCCTAATTTTAGGAGTTTGAACTAAACATGTTCTAAATTTTGGTGAATTTTGCTTGATTAAATCAAAATTCGCCTTTAAAATACCCCAAAAATCGGCTATTCACTTTCCCTCTGCGATTAACAGAGCTCAGCAAGAAATGGTGATGCATTAAATGGTTTTTTTCTCTAAATATTTCGCAACTCCACTGCTATCGGGGCAAATTTTCCGCTAAATAAACTTTATACGTAGCTTATTGCAACGACACCAAACATTTGTTCCATATAATCCACAGCTGCTTTTGTTACCTTTTGTATCCCAGCTTTGGTGGTTGAGACCATTTAGCCAATATAGTGGCGATTATATCTCTGTTCGTGGCAATTGGAAACTGTGGGAAATTTGCTGTTCTTGCTCATTTCTCACTCTCACTCTGGCTTGTCCAATTGTTCATTCTCAGTTTGCAATTGTTGCTCTCGAGAGTGGCATTTTGGCGTCATCTGAGATGGATTGTAAGTGGAATTAATTATGGAAAGAAAACGCGCTTTATGCTGTAACCGGTGTTCAGTTCCAGCGGCTGACCTTGTTCTAATCCCACGACCCTCCCCATTTTATTTATTCCATTCTATCCGGCCGCATTAATGAGAATCGCGTTCAATTCATGTCAATTTTCTGTGTGGGTGAAGTCTCAGTCAACATGAGATGTTTGCATGGTATTGAGATCGTCTGTGAATTGAGGATTTTCAATACATAATCCAAAATTCATGGAGAGAAATTTGAAGGATTTCCCTCAAGTCACCTTGCGTGGGGCCTAATAGAAATCTCCTTCGCGGTGTTTTTCTTTCCCTAATTGACGCGTGTGTTGAACTAAATGTTACACAACATCTCTCAGTCGATGTTAAATGAGCATCACATGCCTTAAAGCGCAGCCGACGAGTTCACATCAAAAATGTGGGTTACACATTTCCCCCAAAATGAATATTTTCTCGAGAGTGATAGAGAGAGAGAAAAAAGTGAGTTGACTCAAAAGGAGAGGCGCTTGTTGATGGAGTGAGTGTCAAACCGTAATATTTCTTCTCTTTTCTCTGCCTTCTAATGGATTGTGCGGAGGCAAAGAGTTCCAAAAAAGAAAACAGACACACGTTCGATCAAAACAAACTGCGCCAATATTGAACAAGACAGAAAGATTGTCATTCGAGCTACAATGTGGGAAACGTGACCCTGCAATTATTTCCTGTGGCGGCAGCCGGAAGTGCATTTAGTGGGTGTAGCATTTCATGCTAAAGGGGCTCGAAACTGTGCAAATTAATGGGGCTCTGAGTCAAAATCACTCATTCTGGACAATACAGATTTGACTTGAATTTTCATCAAATTAATATTCTCCTGTTTCACATTGGCAAAAATTGATTTCTTTGCACACTAATTTTTCGCTTCATCATTCACTCAATTCATTCTGTGATCTGTTGGAAATATAATCAATTTGAGAAGTCTGTAGAGTAATTTTATTACTTTTCCGCCTCATAACTCCATACTTTGCTGGCTTACAATGTATTTTCTGGAGTACATGAGGGAGCAATTGCAGATGCTCTGCGATGCTTGCAAAAACATCGTCAATTCCGGGTGTTTCTGACACACAATTCCATCCTCCTTGCAGAAGGAACATCTGTTTACAACTGTCTCGATGGGGAAGTTCTTGTGAATTATTGCACAAAGCCCAGACTCTATGCTAATGCATGAGAACATGAGACGATCGGATATGTATTCTGGTGAATTCTGGCTATTAATAGTCGCGCGCACTGAGAATCCAGTGGTTTTGCATGTCTTTTTCGGCATGGCCTAAACTGCAGATTTGTCATTCTCGATCGGTGGGTTGAGTGAGATTGAAAATTGCTGGGAGGGAAGAACAGAAATAGATCGACAGAATCGGTCAATATCTCTGAAGGATGGACATGAATCACAGAGCAGTGGAAGATTTTTCTGCTGAGATTTTTGGAATGATTGACATTTTTAGCAGAACGTTTCGCTTAATCTCTTTATTTCTGCCGTCAATCAGTTGATGGCAGTTGAGGCTAAATCACCTGGATGCGGATCTGTGATCCTCGTTTTCCTGCTTATAAGATTATCTAATTTTGGATTGCGAAATATTTTGTGTAAGATGAGAAGAATTGGGGCAGAAAGCTCATAGAATCTATTTTAATATTTTCACACAAACTCTCGCGGTCGCTCTAAAATGCATCCAAAATAGTGATTTAGGCGAAGAGATTTCGGAAATATTTCAGGGAAAACGTGGGGAATTTGCAACGGAGTTTAGGCTGATTTCTGAGCTTCTTACATAAATTTCACGAAATATTCAGAGAATTTTCTTCCCTACGCTTGCATGTTTTGAGGCGATTGTCAACATCATATGCTGGGGAATAATAAACAAACACACAACTTCGCTTTGTGGATGTTCCACGAAAATCTCCGCCGCGTGGATGTCGAAAGTGACACTTTGATGAGAATTAATGAGACATCAAGGCACTAATGACTGCGTCTTCAAAATGATCAATATAAAATTGTCGACTTACATCCAATGCTGTGTGTTGGAGTTCTTCATTGAAGCTCTTGGGCATCAATCTCGCTCGCTGATTGTTTAATAGCCTCAGCATCATGAGGAGAAGAAGATGAGGCCGATAATCATTGCGGGGTTGCAGGAAATTGATCTGAAGATGGGATTTCTTATAATTACGCCGCAGTTACATTTAATGCAAAATTGCGAGATAAACTGCCTGGTGTAGACAAAAGAGATTAATGTAGCGTGGAAGATTGAATTTAGTGATAAAAGTCTATTGAGGTTGCACACAGAATCACAGAGTCGCTGGGTGATCAATTAATCAACGCTAATTGTGACTGGTTTTGTAATTGAATTCAGTTTCTGTGTGTGGTCCAAAGTGGAGAAATGGATTATCCTGCGTCAAGTGCGCGTCGCGGACCATTTGGTAGAATGCCAAGGCGTTGCTGAGTCCCAATGTGTGGCGTACACCGAAAATGGGAGCAAATGGTTCAAAGGAGAAACTGACGAGATCCGCTTCGGAGCGATATGTTCATGCTCAAGTGATTGAAAGGGAGCGCTTTGGGACTTTTGGCAAGAGAACCAAGCGAGGTAAGAAGCCTGGGAATGCGTCTATTCCCACTATCAATCTCTCCCATGGACCATTAAGCGCCCTTTCTCGTCCCATCTGACGAGAGAGTGCCTTTGAGAGTCTCTGCAGCCCCAGCAGAAGTGACAGACTGACTGTGAAAGTGTCACTGGGAATCGGATGGAAGCAATTACATTTGAATAGTCTCGTTTTCTGTTTTATACGCTCCGTCTTCTCCTCAAATGCATCTCAAGATTCACTCACAGGTCGTAAATGTTATCACTCTGCTTCTCAGCTTTTTTTTCCTATCTCTCTTGTCAATTTCCCTCGAGAATCTCTTTGGTTTCTGTCCTCCAGAAGTCATCACTCCATTCAGATGACATTGCGTTGATCTTGTGCACCGAAAGAGTTAATTATTTAGACATTCACAAGTGTGCCTGTCGTTTGAGTGAAAATATTCCCAAGAAGAGTGCTGCAAAGGCACATTTTTTGCCTTCGAGGGTTGGACTTTAAATCAGTGCTTTGTTTATTTTTCCGTTATTCATCGTCTTCTATTCATTAGCTTCCTCTATTGCCTCGAATGTTGTCTTCCGATGCACTTTGTTGCAGCGCATTTTCATGCCCACAATTGTGGAAAATTCTCCCAGAACGAAACAAACAAAAAAAAAATGGGAGAAAATGTTATTCAAGAGAAGCAGAATTGCAATGTAAATTAACAATCCGCTTAATTTTAGACTTTCATTTCGGCACAGCAGAATATGCAACAAAGAGTTTGCAATGTTTATGTCTGCTGGACAATTTTAGAGATTTAAAGGCTGGAATTTTAAAATGGTAATGATGTGGGATGAATTTTCACTCTTGTTGACATTTAATTTTAGAAAGCGAACTTTGGCTATTTACTGATTAATTAGGTGTTATGCAAAAATCTATACAAGGTTTGGCATCTTCAGCTTTAATAAGTATTTGCTATGTAATTTTCGAGGCAATAATCTTTGTTTAAACATCCAAAGTCTGAAATCTTGAGTGACTGTTTCAAGACACCTTGAAGATGAAGGCTAATATTTCACCTAAGGATGTTAAATGAACAACAATTTAGGCATAGAAAGCTCCTCGGTAATTAGCATCAAAGTCGCAATGTGGCGATGCAAAGAACGTCTCTGTGTTTCAACTTTCTAGCAAAGAGAGTGGGATTGCGGCATCATTAAGACGTTGGAGGTTGACTTGACGTCTTCTTCGCCGCCCGATGGCACATTTCATCAGAAGAAATCACCTCGAAAGCGACCACCCACAGTAGAAGTTTGATTAATTTGGCTTCTCCATTTGCAGGTACTGCAAAAAAGCGCGATGTTCGCACAATCACAGCATCACCCAGTGATCTTGGACCACCAAATAAGACAACGGGCAACAATGCAAATGCCAAGAATGCCAGAGTCAACAACAATGCACCACGTGAGTTGATTTATAGCTAGACTACTGTATGACTTTGCGGGCGTGTTGTGAGGGATTTTCCAGGGCTTCTAATCGGGGGAACGTGACGCTTTGATGAACCCAATTTTCTCGATGCCCCTTCGGATTTAGCTCACAGGTCAATCATTTATCAAGAAAATGCTCACAAGATGGGCAATCCGTCCATAAAAATCTCTCATGTGGGTGTTTCCTTGCCGCTCTTTTTCATCATGATACTTTTTACTACTAAAAGAAGGCCTCTTTTATGGTATGCAATAAATAGCACCGTGATGCGTATGAGTTTATAAGACTATGAAATGATGAGATACAAGGAAAAAGAGAGTCTCATGGCGGATTGAAAGAAGAATATGATGCGAAATTGCGGTGATGGAGAAAGGAATACAATGTACATAAAATGTTTCTTTTCTCCCCTTTGAAAATTTCCCATATAAATAGCCAAACTGTCGATGGCTTTTGTTTGCTTATGAATATCTTTCTAACTCCCTTTCTTTTTGACTTGAGAATGCGCCGAAAAAAAAGAAAGATTTCCCAAACGCTTTTTTGTTCTTTATTCCATCAAACTTCAAAGACGGAATTTGATATGCGTAGACAAATGCTATTCTCAAGTTCATTGATCCAATTGTTTTCACATGGTTTGAGGGGTTGAGCAATTTGGAAGTTAGCTTAACGTTCGCCGGTTAGTTAAGGGGTCAATGCAACTTTAATTTCATAACATTTTAAATAATTGGTCAAAATTGTGAATTCGTAAAGCTGCGATGAAAGATTGTGATTCGTAACTTTTACAAATTGAAACAAGAAATCTGTAAAGTTGCAATGACTCCTAAGTTTCACTGATATTAGCCCCCTAAAGTTCAGGGCGCGCGCAAAGTGTGGCCGCAAAGTAACGTGAAAATGCTAATCTGAATGTGTGCTAAAAAAACGTCTGTATTGGAGAAATATGCCGAAAAATGCGAGCACCTGTCGAGGTCGCTGAATAAATACAAAAGAGCACGATTGAAAATGCGCTGAGGTAAATGGTACAAAGTGGTTAAAGGCTCTAAAACTGGTTACGTAAATCGTGATATTCGCTCAATTCTCCTCTTTTTCTGGCTCAGCATCCGCAGTATTTCACAGTGATTGTGGGATTTCTTGTGCACCTATATTATGGGCCTAGAGAGGCTGTAATTTAGTGACGAAGACAGAAAATTGAGCTATTGGAATCTCAATTTCTCGATCGAGTTGCGGAGATGCTCAGTGGCCAATGGAAAACCCCCTCAATTCGCTCTGCTCAGCTGTTCTGCGGCGCTGGGAAGAGATGAAACATGTTTCCAAAGCTTCTTTTTGCCGCGCGCTGCCCAGAAGAATGTCACTCGTAGCGGTTCTTCCATTTCTCGTATGGTCACTAACGATGAGGAAATTGGTAAATTAATTGACTGTAAGCAAATGACACAGGCCACTAATTCGGCGGCATTGCGTTTTTCACTGCGGCCAAAATTGGTGCTGATGAGATTCTTGTGAAATCTCCTCCCAAGAAAGTCTCTACAATTGTATTTCATTCAATCAGTGACATCCGGTTTGCGGGCGAGTGCCAAAGAGCCCCTCATTGCAAGATTGAGTGGATTTCTTGGAAGATGCCTGACCTTGTATAGATTGCATTGATTTCTGGCCAGACTCTTGTGAAATGGACGAGAGAAAGGAAATTGAGATGAAAATTCTCACTCGCCAAATCACAGTAGATTTTTCAGTTGATGAAAAGACAATTGAACAGAACAGGAAATTTGCTTTATAAGAGATCTGGAAAAATGCCTAAGAAATCAGTTATTGAGACTGATGGTAAGTTTGTGTTCTATTGACTGTTAGAAAACGTTCTCTTTGCGATGTTTTGACATAATTGTTGAGGATTAAAATCATGCAGTGTGACACCTTGACATTGGCAAGAATTTATGTAACATCTTAGTCTGGGTTGGAATCTCTGCGATTACCAGAGATTATTTCATGGCGACTTTCTTGGTGGGAACGTGTTTTTCCGCCTCGAGAAAATACTTGAAGTTCAACGAAACCACATCGTGTCATCATACAAAATAAGTTTAATTCCATTCAATTTCCTGTATGTGAACAAAATCACATGAAGATTACAGTGATTGAGGCTGAGAGATGTGAGGAAGGCGGACAAACTGGGTGAATTTTGGTGTGAAAGATCACTTGATGGGCGAGAAAGATTGCTTTTCTTTCACTTTGTGCGTTTTGTATACATTCTGGCGATTTTTCATTCATCACTTTATCCCGCTTTCTTTGTCGCGCTCTTTTCAGAGAAACGATCACCACCGGTTGTGGCGCAACAGTCACATCCTGCCGCGATGCCTGACGCCGGGAAAGGATCTCCGCCGGCAAAGCGAATGGTCCAGAGGCGGCAGATTACAGTGCAGCCACAGACTCAGGCCAAGTTACCTCTCAAAGGTGAGTGACTTCCGCCACAACATCTCGCGTGAGGATAATCCTCTTTTCTCACCCATTTCTCCTCATTAATTTATTATGGGAAAGTGATTAGGAAGCGAGACTCTTGTTCTCTTCGCGTTATCAACACACGCGTTCACTGACTCGGCAAATTATCCGAATCGATATTACGTTATGAAAGAAAAAAAAGTGTCTCCAACTTCCGAAATAAGTCATTTGTCTCTCATGGCTGGTCGTTTTGGATTAGCAGGCGGATAAAATGCTACAGAAGACTGAATATGCCGCCCAGTGGGGAGTTATTCAACTTCTCTAAACGCCAATAACCGTCGCGTGTGGTAATTACAATCGTACTTAACTTCTCTTTGCCTTCCACAAGCTCTCTTCCAACGTCTTTCTTGCTACACTTTTTTTTCCCTCCACCGCGTCGAAGGTCTATTTAATGTTTTATTTACTTTTAATGGCTATAGACTTTTGTACACATTGTAAGCTTACGAGAGAGGAAGTTTTGTGTGCAAGACACTCGCGCGCAGTGGCGCGATTGAGTGTGTCTGGTTGATGTGAGAAATTAACATAAATCCATCGACTCTTATGCTCAAAATGTTAATTGGATGGAATAAGACACAGGTGTAAAGTCTCCTCCAAAGCGACATTAAATACTTCGTGCTATAACTTGGCTTTTTATGGTGAATTTTGCTATGCTTAAATCAGGGGGCAAATAAATGTCAGAAGCTTGTGTGTTTTTGCTTCAATCTCATGGTGAATTCATCTGCCAAGAGATTATGGTAATTTGAGAAGATGACGCTTATCTGAGCGATGATGAAGAGAGGTTTTGAAAAGTGAGGAAGATTTAAATATGTTAAATTAGCATAATAAAAGGCACACGATGGATTTGCATTCTATGATAATTGATAGGTTTTATGATGTATGGAATTGTGCAGAAGTGATTTATTGGCTGTTTATTTGCTGGGAAATGATAATTTTTCAAATGAAGCGCAATTACGGGACAATCTCTAATGATATATCACATTTTGCCTTCTTTACTCGCTTCCACATGTTTTTACTTCGTGAAAAATGTATTTTGAAAAAAAAATATCGCGTGAATTCGATCGATGCCAGTAAGAATTTATTGCAAGTGAAATTGAAAATTATATTCCGATGGCAACAATTAAATTTATTACTAAAAGTGCGCCCTTGGTGAAAATGAACTGCAAGTTTCGTGAGTTAGAATTGCATGATGAACAATATTCGATATGTTTTTATTCAAATTAGTCCCTAATGAATTCAGGAGTTGACCTACAATGTGAGCGCGAACAGTAGCAAAAGTGCAATTTATCTTCCCCTCGTTTTCAATATATAAAGTTTTTGTTTTTAATCAATTCAAATCTCACAGCGTTGGAAATATAATATGAATAATGGGAATTTATTATTTTGAACTAAATCTTCTGAACTGGAATGACTTTGGCTGAACAGTTCGGTAATTGCGTTGATTTTTCGAGCTACCGCTTATTTTGCACGTTTTTTTCTTCTTCTTCTACAATTCAATAATATCACTGATGGGGAGAAGAAGAAGTAAATTGAAAGCTTTAGTCTTCGCATGGTTGGATAAGTAGTTTATGGTGTTTGAACGGTAATTTGATTTGAGATTTAATGCGAGTCTTGTGCATTCTATCGTCGCGACTTGCTTAATGAATTGTCCCGCGGAAGAAGCATAAAACTCTTTAATATGCACGAATCAATCCCATCTTCACTGTCCATCTTTGGCGTGACATTTCTCTGGGCAATTCACTCTCGGCTGGTGATGAAAAGTCTGTTGTTTAGTGCTGTGCAAGAGTTGCTTTGACGGACTCTCTAGTCATGGGAACTGGAAATGGCAAAGAGGCACGAGTTTGGAATTGTCCACATTTCAGAGGCCGCTGACCATTTGCTTCGCGGTGCACACACTAAACTCGCTTTTCCATCAATCGACTCCAATTTAGAGTCTTAATCCTGCACAAGAGTTGAAAACATGTTGAGATGTGAGAATTCTTTGCGAGTCTCAATTAATTGCAAATGAACCTCTTCTCCGTCGTACGGCGTATAAATGATGATCAATTGAGGGGAATTTTCTACCATCACCTTTTCACTCTTTCATGCTCTTTTATGCTGGGCTCAAATTGGCGGAGAGATGCTGTCGAGACGAGGTGGAGAAGAAATTATTTCGCTATTCATTCGATAAAAAAGATTAATAATTCAAATAGCGTAAGTTATTTGAGTGATGGTTAATTGAATTAAAGGGAGTAATCTGTGTGTTGAACGGAATTCCTCACTCGGCAGAGACGTGAATATATCTCTTTATTCTACTCTAAACAATTAAAAGTGTGGCGAAGAAGTAAAATGATGGGAAGATCTTTGTTGAGTGACTTGAAAAGAGTGTGGTGAGTGTGTACTATGGCCAATTAAACTCTCTTTTTTGTATCCATTGTCCCTTCTCATTCTCCGTGATTTCCCGCCAAACCTGTGTGACTCAATTTACGGTCATTTAGTAATGTTTATGTACATTTCAGGCAATGTTGTATTCCGATTTGGTGGTGGGGAAATACGTCAAGAAGTGTAAAGAGTGTGAAAAAGGGTAGAGCACCAGACTAATGATTAATTTATAAGAAAAGAAATTTCTTTTCACTTTTTTTCCACGTGGAAAACTTTGGTTTTTTTTCGTCTGAAATTTGCAAATTAACATAGAATTCTTGTTTGTAGTTTTCACCTCTGTGTTGATTTTATAATTACTTTTCTATTTGCGCTATTCGCGTCTCTTTGGTTGGAGAAAAGCAAATCCTTCACAGACAGATTTGCTGGATTTTCCTCTGTGCCAAAAATACTTTTTACTCGCATAATGAATTATAACTTCTCTGGCAAAAGTGTTGAGTTTGCTTCAACCGCCCGCACGACGAGGAAATGATTTTATTGTACTCAAGTGTGGGTAAAATTTAATTAACACTGCAATCATCCAAAAGCTCTCTGTCTTGCGTTGAGAGAAGCAAATTTTTTCCAGTGTCTGACTATTAATTCACATCTTAATTGCACACACTCATCGCTTCTATGCAAATTTGTTTGCATTATGTAGACACAATAGTGTTGAATTTCCTCTAATTTCCTCCCACTTGCAATTTTAATTACATTAATTCAGTTCGGAGTGAAGGGTTTTTGATTATTAATAGGAGTTCGGTAACAAATTTCATCTTTGATTAATGAATTTCCCAGAATCGAATACAGAACAATTTTGGTTAGAATCTGAGCGTTTGCTTGTAATTCTACACTTGAGTCAATGCAGCACATCGATCGATTTGTGGATGGAAGGTGGTGAGGAAGAGATAGATTGCATGCCTGAATTGCTCTGCTGGTGAAATAATTAATAAAATTACTATTTGCCTCCACCTACAATTTCCTCCGGAGTATCAACATTGGCGATTCACTCTCTCCGCGCTCTGCGCTGTCTCTGCGATCTGAGACTTCAGCGGCGCGCGGGGTGGGAAAAGGCGCTCAGTGGCTTGTCGAAGAAAGTATTTTTTGTGTGGAAACACTGGGCAAGTTGGTGAATTGAAGTGAGAAAGTCTAGCATGTGTTACAGTTGCATTTGTGCTCTCAGTTCGTGTGGTTCGTTTGAGGTCTCTTGAGGGGAATTTTGTCGAGAATGGGGAAGTGGTGAAATCGCTTGGCATAAAAGGGATAACAGTGCTCTCCGCAAATGTTGCATTTATCTTGATCACCCAGAGGATAAATTCAGAACACTTGTGCGCGCGCGTCTATGAAGATTGTTTGAGTTTATAAGTGCAAAATGGGTCTCAATAAGTTCGTTTCCCTCTTTCACAACTCAACATCAGACGTGGCGGCGGACCTTAACAACAACGGTCGCATCAAATCCACCTACACAAGTGATTTGGATTTGTACGCCAACACGCAGCGCTTCAAGAAGTCCATCCTCTGGGGCTCTCTCAGGCTGCCGACAAAGTTCAGAGGTACACAACAGCTGTTGTCAGCTTTTCTCCCCCGGGGGAGAGAGAGAGAGAAAAGCTCTCGCTCCGCCGGCGATTTTCCCGCGTCGCTTCAGTTGATGATTCACACAGAAGCAGAGAATCGCGCTTTGCTGGTGATTCATCGATGGTTGTGCATAAGTTTAGGCGTGCGCAAAATTGCTCTTATGCTCAAACATATATTGCTGAAATCATCATCATCATCAAAAGGGGATTTAGAATACTTCTGCTCAAACAGTTCGACGTGAGTTTTCAGTGAGGCGAAAGTTCACTCCGCGTTGTGTCATTTGTAATCCGCTTTCTGGCAAAATCTTTCTCTTTCTCTGGTTTAGTGGTTTTCCTCCCGAAAACCCAAAAAGCGCTTTCGACACTGTCATCTCAGCTCATATAGTTTTATTTTGTGGCACAAGCAAGTGAAATTGAGTTCTATTTTTATTACTTTTGTCTTTCTCTCTCACCGAGCAATATTTGGGACAAAAGACATAACAATACACACACACAAAATATAATGTATACATTTTCATGATGGATTAAACATATCTTCCAGCGAGAGAAGAGTAATTTTGCAATTTTGCAAGTGAGAAGAAGCGGAAGGATTAATAAAAAATTTGCTCTTTCTCTAATCACATATAAAGTCGAGAGGTTTTGCACATTTTGTACAGCAAGAAAAAAAATATCATTTGTCATTGTAGCATTATTAATTTTATTCCCACTAACCCACTTTCTTTGCCAAAAAGTACTCGCGATATTAAACACTTTCCTTTCGATGTCATTTGAATTTGATGCCACAGTGTCGTGTTTAGACACAAAAGTTCCAATAAATCTGCAATTACAATTGAAGAATTGTCGACAAAGATTTTATGTAAAAATTCATACACAGCGGAAAGTTTACAATGTTATCAAATGACGTAGCATTGAAAGTTATTTTTGTATTGTATGCTTTTGTCGAGATTACATTTGAAATTCGGATCAATTGAAATTGTGGGGAGGTTTTTTTTAGAATGCGAAAGTCACGCTAATTGAGAAATTGTCTTTGACTTTGCGATGTTGATTTTTTTGTGTTGTGAAAGACAACATGCAAATGGGCTTTGAGGCGCGCTTTTCCACCCATTTTCTCCACTACACAACATTCGTAGTTGATCTTGACTTTTGCCAAAAAGTTATTTATAAACACGCCGCGCTTCATCTTTAACATCCTTGCAGTTACTGGTGAAAAATTTAATAACGCATCGCAATGAAATCATGCCAGTATTCATAGAACAGGCGCGGATGGCGAGTAATGTTCCTCAATTGCTTCCATATGATTTGTTGGCATGGTTAATGCGTTGTGTGTGGCGAGATAGAATGTGTGTGTGTGTGTTGGGCCTTTTATGCTGCGAATTTAACGCATAATAATGATCACGTTGGAAGACGAAGTGTGTGAGTTGGAAAAAAGTGAGTCGCGATCAGTTGCTGGTTGAGCGTCAAATTGTGAAAAGGCTCGCGCACGATCGTGAATTTCGCTTTGGCGTGAAAGCACACAATAGAAAGAGTGTCGTGAATTTATTCAGATTATAATGTAGTATATAGAATGAATTTGTCATTATGGCGTGTGAGTGATTTTGCTATGCGGTGATTTGTCGATGACAAAGTCTAAGAAAAATGTGAGGAGATTCAGCAATAGTAATGATAATAATGGAATGCCAGTGGCTGCCGAATGTACTGTTGAATATTCTTGAAAGCGGTGCTAGATGAGAAGGAATGAATAGTTGAGTCTTTGACTAAAAGGAAGTTATATAGCTAAACCACCGCTAAATGTTCATTGATAGAAACGGTGAGTTCTTTTTCACACATGCTGTGTTGTGCATATTACGCTTTCTTGTGGTGAAAATTGCAAATTGGAACTCTCTGGCGAGGTGTTTCTTCACTGAAATCTCTCAATAATTACAGCGTTTCTCGACTGTTTATGCCTGAAGGTAAAATAATAAAACTCACTGGGTTGGAGGACAAAAAAGAGTCTTTGAATGTGTTATGAGAACATTCTAACTTTAGCCCACTTGGCAATCAAATTACACTCTCTCTCGCTCTGTCGCAAACTCATCATGTGTTCAAACAACTTGCCGAAGCAAGAGAACTGAACTACATGTTATGCTTTTTATCATAGTTAATGTGTATCTTCCAGAAATCTTGTTTCGCCATCACCACAACAAATTCCTCTATGCATATTTCGACTCCATAATGTCTAATCACTGGCGTGGAAATGAGTATATTCTCCCATCCTAAGCGTACGTGGAATCTCTTCTCCCTTCTAATTTAAAGTGTCATTCTTGGGAATATGTTGTAATTAAGTAAAAATGCTCCCAACAAGTTTTCCGCCCTTGTCTAGCTTCTGTATTTTATAAATTAATTCACAGAATGACTCTGTGCTTCTCATGTACTTTTTCAATTAAACACTGAACTCCCTCGTCAAATACTTATGTTCTCTAATGAATATTAGTTAAATTAGAAGGCACTTTGACCCATGAACAGCCAGCCAGAGACTCTTGACTTTATGGTTTTGAGCTGAAAGGCATTAAAGTGGATTTCCTTCTCGAGAGTTTCACCGCATGTTTTGAAAAGTTTTCTTTTGATACGACAAGGCAGAGAAAATAGGAAAATGTCATAGGCAGATGGAGTCAAATTACAGATCCATGAAGGGCGTCCACCCTGTCTTTGTTTGCATTTGATTGTGTGGCGGGGGTCAATTTGGGAAAATGAACTCTCTTTTGCTGATCCCTCAATTGTTTGGACAATCTTTGGATGGGTGTTTAACATGATGGTTTTTGGTACTTTTCCACAATTTTCATTTAATCGCGCTGTTTTCGCTTCTCCTTCTCGGCATTTCGCCAAGAAATCCTACGCTTTTGTATCAAATAGAAAATTTTTTTTGTAATAATAATTTCCGAAACATTAATTTGGCTGATATAGAGTGAAAGAAATAATGTGCGCGCTCTTATTTTCTGGCTATAAATGCATTTTTCCTCCACTAATAATGTCCATATAAACACTCATGGAGTGTGTGTGTGGTAATAGCAATTTATCAGAAATGGTGACAAATTTATTGATAATGATCTCCATAAATCAATGCGGAGAAATTTTTCTGGTCATCAACTTCTGAATAAATTCTGCGAAAGCGAAAGTCTGAAATTCGACACTGAACAGACTGAAACATGACTGGTTTTGGGTGAATTTTTTTGTAATACAAATATTAATTATCAAATATGACGAGGAAGTGATGAATAAATGATGAGATTAGCGTTGTGAATTTGTGAATCGAGTAATTCGATACTGTTTACCTCTTTCCGTTCCGCAGAATTCGTTTTTTTTAGTGAATGGAAGCAGTGAAATTTTGCGTCAACATTGCGCTGAAAAGTGCCATAATCCGCCAAATGATTGGCGGGCAATATTTTGCTATAGAATTTTCTCATGTAGGTGCAGAAAAACATTCTTGTGCATAAACACTGCAGACAAATTGTCTGTCTCGCAGCCTAAGATGTGGTCTTTCTGTGATTTTTACATGAGAAGGAGGCGCACTATGTAAACGTTTGTGTAACCCAATTCTGATGGGTTGTTGAAAAAAGACCGCGAGCACACATTATATTTATGACAAGAGTGAATTATGCAATTGAAGCCATTGTCTGTGATATTAACAGACACCATCAATGCTAAATAGTGTGGCTTGTGTCTCTCATGTCTGCTCTGGGCCTTTGAGAAGTTTGTGTGTTTGAAAAGAAAAACGGCCCCTCTTCGCCATGAGATTTTTGTCGATTGAGATATTAAAGACAAATGTCAACAATCTTTCGAGTACTTTTCACTCTCCGACACTCTATTTAGCAATTCTCCGTCCACACTTGCTCACATTCACAGACTCGAGGGACTGTCTTGGGAGATTCACATGAGGTGCTCGAACATGCCATTGTGTGTCGCCCTCCTTCTGTGGGTGAATTTGCAAATTGCAGCATTTTCATCTCGACCATAATTGCAATATCTGACTAATTTATTCCCAACACGACACTTTGAGAAGGCATATCATGGGTATTTGGAAGACTCGGTGCACAAGTCGAGGCATTAATTTATTAACTATTCACACCACAACTCTGACCCAAAACAATTTCCACGCTGTTCATGCAATTTGTACGAATTGTGGTCAGTTTAAAAGTGATTTCTGCACTTAGAGAACGTGCTAGAAGACGCCCACGAGCCCAGCCTCTTCACACTCCTCAATATTCATACATTATACCTATTTATTATGGGCTCTTGAAGTGGGATATTTTTCCATCTCAATCAAATATCACAAGATTATTGCGAGGAAATGTCTGTTTTCCACCCGCCAAAACCAACACACATTGATTATGCGAATCTCCGTGCGGAATTGATGTATTTACTCTTGGAAGGCAGAAATGATTTTTCAGATGGATTTTGACTTACGTAAGAGAGCTGCGTGATCTATTTTGGGGTTAGAGAGGAAAACAGTGGCGATTTTCAGAGGAAAATTCAGTCAATTGATATTTAAATGAGTTCGCTTTGCAAACATTAATTCACTGGGCGAACAGCGCAATACATAATGGAGTGTATAGTTTTTGCGTGTATATTTTCCGGGCAGTTACGGAATATTAATTCTGCAACTGTTGAGTTCTCTTTTTCCCTCTTTCCTTCTTTTTTTCCCCACCCTGATGTGGTGATTCCGACAAGGGGAGCAGAGAATCAATTAAATGCACATAAGCAATTTGTACAGTTGATTGTTTGGAACAGTTATAGAGTAAATAAATATTGAGAAAATGATGAAATCAAACATTTGTGATTCACTAAAGATGCACTGAGTGCAGAGATGAACGGTTACGTTGGGAGATTCCTGGCAATTCTCTACGCTCTGTATCTGCTCAACAATGATTGAGAATTTGCGAGAAAGTGAGCTTGTGAATTACGTAAGGGGAATCTCAAAATATTTGCTCAAAGTTTATATGATTAATCTAAAGAGGAACCATAAGATCAATTTGTAATAAAATTCCAACGATCTCGCAAGATTAGAAGCTGTATTTTAAGACTCATTAAAATTCAATTAATCTCTGCCAATGTTTTATGAATATATGTTAATGTATCAGCTCAGAAGCATAATTTAGACTAAATTTATGTGTGTACTTTGTGCCATTTTGCTCTGTTTATTTCTGGTTGAAGATTTTCCTGCAATTTGCCGTTCAGAATTGAGATTTTTCTAATATGAATGATGCATTTATTCATCATTGAATGAATTGCAAAATACTTATCAATAAATTGTGCTCAAAACATATATTTTTCTGTCCTGAAGTTTAACTCTGTGAGTAAAATCGCATAAACCTCGTCGAAGGATTGAATGAAAATGAAAAATACACGGTATTTTTCAACACAAACATTGTGCTTTCAATGCTTGGAGAGTTTTCTCTTCTTAAAGTTTGTGTGAAAAATGGCTTTCTTGGCATGTGAAAAAATGCCAGTGGGTGGGAAAAAACAACCCAACATGAGGAGATGTGAGAAGCTCTCGATGTCACGGGGCGAGAGAGAGAGTTTCACTGATGGCAGACAGTCCAATTCCATAAATTGTCGCTGCGTCTGCTGGTCAGGGCTGTTTTTCCCTTTCTCACACTCCTTCCGTTCATCTTCTCTAATCCACTTCAATTAATATCATTAGCCTCATCGTTCGTCTCTCTTTCTCTCGGCAGATCACAATCGATTGGCGGGAGTCGTTCCACTGGCCACAAAAACCGTCGCGGGCAGCGTAAATCAGCAGAAAGTGGCCAAGCAGGCATCGACTGGTGTCACGAAGAATGGCTCAATTGTGGCGCCGATCGCTGAGAACGGCTTCGCCGGAAGTCACCAGACGCAGCTGCTGGCCAAGGCGCCCAGGAGCAATGGTGTCTTGCCAGAGAGAGTGGCTCAGTGCCGAGATCTCGCACACGCCAATCGCGGTCTCGAGGCGCTGGGCGTTGTCATCCAGTATCTGGTGCACAGTGTAAGTATTTATTTAATCTGGGAAATGGCTAATTGAATTTTGCCTCGATTTTTCTTCTTGCATTGTTTAATTGGAAACACTATGCTGTGGCGGAGAAAGTCGCACTCTTTTCCCATATCATGCCAACAGTGCTTGTGTGTCTGCCAGTAAAGAATTATTAAATCTGGTCTGGCTCCAGTTAGCTCAAATGTCGAAAAGGGGGAGAATTAATTTATTGAGATGATGTTCAGTGCAAAATTATCGCGCAATTGAGAAACAAATAATCTCCGGATCTTGGGAAGAAATTGTATTTTAATAGGATAGTCATCATTAACAATGCGAAAATGTGTGATGAAGATTGGGTGGAAAAAACTTTCCATTTCAATGATTTGTTTCTTTTTACACCTCTTTCACTCTTGTGAAACATTGTAAAAAAGAATTGATAAATGCCTCCTAAACATATCAAGTGGCAATAAATTCACCTTTATTTACAGGTGGGTAAAAATGATGTGAATGAAAACATGATAGAAAATGCTCTGGCAAAGTGTGCGCTTGTCCAGCGATGGTATTATGCTAAAATTACACTATTTTCTCTGTCGTTTTACATTGTCAAATCGACTCTGTATTCATGCTAAGATATTTTCTCCAAAAATACGCTAAATGACGCGAAATATTGCATATATGTTTAATAAAAATTACAAATTGTTGAGCAGATAACTTCAATTTTGATAATTCCTACAAGTTTTAACAACTCTGCATTTTTTTTCCACAAAATAGGGCAATTTTAGCATATTTCCGTCGCAGATGAACATCTGCGCAAATGTCCGCGCGCTACTAATGGTTAAAATGATAATGGGATGCAATTGTGTGTTGTTAAACTTTTCTCCTCGTCGGCTCGCCTTTAACATCTTCATATAATGACGCATGGCAAGAAAGTTAGAAATATAATTCCAAATGGTAATTTGCTACATTGTTGAAGTGTAACATTTTGATTGATATGTTGCTGTGAATTGTTGCAAGATATTTACTTGCCGTGCATCTCACGAGAGGGAGTTTTTTTCTTAGCACGTCATCAAAGAATAGCCGTGGAAACTTTTTTTCTTTGCCAGAGCATTTGCAATTTTTCCCATCGCCTCTCGAAGGTGCAATAAATGCAAATTGTTGTCATATCGTGGTGAAGTCACGAAAGGGACATGCAACAACTCTAGAGAGAGAAAGAGAGAAAGACCTTTTGACATCCAGTCATATAATCCAGGGTTTTGTGTGGATTATTTATGAAGCATGAAAAGTTCCTTCCTCATGCAAAATACTCGATATTTCCCATCACTGGCCGACGATATGCAAATTAAACTCTACTTTAATAATGCAATTATTAGCATCTGTTAGAGTCAATAAAATATTCATGTACATTTCTTTTTTTTTGAATGGCTTTCCACTCTATGATTTATGTAGATGTAAGATTACCTTTGCAGTGGTGAATATATAGTTTTTCTCGATAAATTTTATGCTGGAAAATGTTCAATCTTTCTCTCTCTATCTTGCACTGCTGAAGGGATAAAAAAGTGGGGGTGGAGAGTGAAAGAAAAAGTGTGAGATTTAAGATGTTCAATCCACTCAACAGCTGTTGAAGAATGCTCTGCTGAAGGTGATTCGCAAACCGTGGATTTTCGCCTCTTTCCACTCTCCCAGACGTGGTGCAAATTTTTCTCACGGGCAAATTAGCAAGAGCAAACATCTTGCGAACCTTCGGATATAATTTACCGTGGGGTGCATATAATTGCGACGAGAGATAATTGCTAATATAAATTGTTGAGTAGCTACTAAGAAGCGGTGAAGTTTGCAGTCTTTGGATAAGGAGAGAAGCATATATTTGGTGAGAAAATCAAATGTGATTTATTCACTGGCTTTCCCTGCCAATATTTTACGATTGTCAGCGGATTTATGGGTCAAAGCTCGTGGAAGGGTTGCAAAATTGATGAAAAGTCATCCTTTTCACTTTCTTCCAAAACACATTTTCCTCAGTCGAAGGTGAAGGCATGCCGAGAGTGTCCTCATGATTCACCGAAGAAAAGGACTGACAATAAAAACTGGACAGTTTTATGGGTCATTCAATGGGATTTCATCCTTGCACTGCTTTTTTTCTCGCTCATATCGAACAATTTTTTCAGCCGGTGAAAAATCCTTGAGATTGTGTTTATATTGGGGGGTTGAAGAAGAGCGTCTAAGTAGCAATAATCATGCTTCTTCTTGAGTAAATTGGAAACTTGTTGAGGATAAAAGACACTTTCGCTGTCTTCTCAATGCGATGAACTCTGGGCGCACAGAGTGGAAAGAGAGTTCAGTTCCATAGTATAAATCAACAATTTCCTGACAGTGTTTTCTCACTGATAAGGAAAAGTGTCTTTTAATTATTTTCGCATGAAACATCCGCTGAAATTTATGCTTGTCCGGCCGGGGAAAATAGTCAAGAACGCGTGCGCGCGTCTGTTTTTTTCCTCGCCACACACAAACGACAAGTTGTGAATTATTAATTGGACATTTCTTTACATTTTCTCTATAAAGTCACTGCCATGTCGAATTGACGCTCTTTCTAGCGCTTGTTTGCCGCAATGAAATCATTTAGCGCGATGTGTTTGATTGTGTTTGGTTCACTGGATGTATTTTTTTCTGTTTTGTACTCATTTTCCTGACGCGCAGTGTAGAGTTTGTTTTCACAATTGAACCTCTGAAAAGTGATCTGAAAATAAATTCTGAAGGCATAATTAGGTTTTCTTTTCTTGCGGAAGTATCAATGTTTTTCCTCTCATTTCCTCCTTTGGTGCGGCAGATGAAAACGATTTTCCCCTTCTTGATTGATGAGAGTTTCTGGGAATGTTTCAAGGTTTCCTGGAAGAGAGATGTCTTGTTGTGTAGTTCTATGAATTGCTCCAGCTGCTGATCCAGACTTTGCTGCAAAATTACCACATTTTGAATGCCCGAAAGGTGTTTTTGCTGTGCATATTTACCCACAACTTGTATTAACTTTCAGTACAAGCAAATTGAATGCGTAGAGAAATTTGATATCCATGTTTCTTCTGGGGGTAATTGAATGGTTTTGTTTTTTTTAATTAATTTAATAATTTCAAATATTTGATAGTATCCATAAGTGTGTATTTTTCCACTGGAATTTCCTATTACATTTCATTCACCTCTTGATGCATATCTTTTCTGTACTTTCGGAGGAGAAATGCTCTTATCTCCATCCGAATCTTGACGATGTTGGTCAAATTAGTCTATAAACAATCATTTGCACGACTTGTCTTTCCGACTTTTAAATGGCTCTTGTGAGTTTTGCAAAATATATTTTAATTGTATCTTGAGTATGTTCAATAGAGATGTCTGATTTGCGTTAGTTATGCAAATTTAGGAGGTTTTCCCAAATGCATCAAGAGGAGAGTTTTGGTAATTTTCCATAACATCCAGGCATCCTTTTGTGAATCTGTGGCTTGGTAAAATCCCTGGTTTTTGACCTGTGATGAGTTCAAGGCGAGTGAGAAAAGATTAGGCTGTAATTAGGCAAATTTCTGGGTGAATTTATCCCTCTCTCTCTCACGCGCCGGTTTCACCCTCTGAACCATAAGTTTGTCAGGTAGTTGGAGGCGAACATAAACATACGGCGAGCATTTTCATTTGGGATTTTGTCGTATTCGGTGGTGTGTCTTGTGTGTGCCTTGCCTTCCACTCTCGCATCTCGTGGAGAGTTTTGCGTGTGTGTTGTTTTTTTAAGTGAAATTTCATTGATTTGGTGCTCATTTGTGGTGAAATGAGCTTCAATAAATTTGGGTGTTTGGCGGAAGTGATGGAATTTGATATGGAATTCGTGGATGTTGCCGAATTGGAGTCATTTCTGAATGGATCCGATCGATGGAGGGATTCCGTAGTGTCGCATGAGGTACAGCAGCAAATATTGAATTTCGAGCCTCTTCAAAGCACACTCTTCCAGGGTGAGCGCGCGTGGCTCTTCAAGGGTGAAGAAGCGCGCTCACATGTGACGATATTTATTGCCAATTAACACCGAAAAATTGTTCATAACTTTCAACACTTGTGCGAAGCATATTTTTCTTTTATCTATGCTTCACCTCCACATCATCTCAATTTTTTCTCTCTCCTCCTCCTCCCTCTCTTTGATGCTTTGAACTAGACCATGAAACACACCTAATTGTGTACGCGTTTTTCTTTTTTTTTGCACCATATGAATGGGAGTTGAGGAATTACAATTTTTTCTTTGACTTTATGTAATAATTACGCGTCTCTATTGCTTCTCGGTGCAGCTGGATGCCTTCTCCATGCCAACGCTGAAGCAGAATCACGAGAGAACGACGAGAAAATTACTCGAGACGAGATTGGCACTCGATGAGACACGCACGATGTGTCAGGAGCTGCAGACGAGGCTGGCGGAGCAGGAGTCACGCGAAGTTCAGCTGAGGAATGATCATCTCAGTGAAAAGGAACAGAGTGAGTAATTTATCCTTGTGGCCAGTGAGATTCCTTCAAGGACTAATGCGAGAGTTGTGGGAAAACTCCCTTAATCACTGACCACGTCTTGTTGCAGTGGAAACCCGCCTGATGGAAATGGAGACGCGCTTTCGCTCGTTCGTCGCCGAGTCGGAGGATCGCTTGGCGCTGCGCGAGTCTGAGCTGAAGGAGTCCAAGTTGCGCGAGACGGATCTCGTGCAGCGCCTGAGCGAGCTGGCGGCCACGGAGAATGCGCTGCGGGACAAGGTGGTGGCCAGCGAGGAGGAGTTCGGCGAGAAGCTGCGCCTGGCGGCGATGCGGGAGCGCGAACTGCAGGAGCGGAGTGTCCAGCTGCAGCGACAGGTGGACGAGACCAAAGCCAAAAATGAGGCACGAGGGCGAGAGCTGGAGGAGAAGGTGAACCTGCTGCAGGACGAAGTGTCAGTGCTGCGGCACACGAGAGCCACCACCAATGGACCCATGTCGCCCACGCGCCAGCGGACCACGAGTTCCGGCAACACGCAGATCCTGCAGGACGAGGTGGAGAGCCTGCGGTGCGTGCTGGAGCTGAAGCAGAGTGAAATCTCGGAGCTGAGGAAGCACAATCAGGAGCTGCAGCGCGCATCCGATGAGCTGTCCGGCACGATGATTAAGCTCTCAGCCTCCGAGAGTCGCGTTGAGGATCTGCAGGTGCAACTCGAGGCGAAAGTCAATGAGGAGAAGTGAGTGTTTGAGGGGTTTTGTGCCTTGAGAAGTATACTTATCCTCTTCTTTTTCTCTCCTTTAGGGATCTGCTGGCGAAGAACAAGATGCTGAGTGAATCTTACAGTCACGAGCTGAAGAATTGCAGCCGACTGGTGCTGCACAATGAGGAGCTGCAGTGGAAGCTGAAGCAGAACAGTGAGAAGTTCGCGCGCACCATTACTGAACTCTCCAAGAGTTATCACGAGGGCTCCTCGTCCGTGCTCAACTCATCGCGTCGCGAGTCAACACGCACGAACGGCGACGGCAGGCTGCTGGAGTGCTTCGAGATGGAGGACGTGTCGCCGCCCACGTCACCTGTGATGCGAGGCATCGTGGAGAAGTCGGACTCTGTGTCTTGGGTGCTGGAGATGGAGGATGAATCTGCGGAGGCGCTGGCTTCGCGCGTGGTCAGGCGCGCTGGGTCCTTCCGGGCGCCGTCCGTGGAGAAGGCGGTGAAGCGGCCCAAGTGTGCGGCGGCACTCAGTCAGTCTGCCAGCGCAGCATCGATTCTCCATCAGCAGCACGACACGCCGCGCATCAGGAGTCAATCTGTGAGTCACAAGGCGTCCGTGGGACGCAATCTGGCCAGATCCAACAGCGTGCAGACGCCGTGCTCGTCGCGCGAGTGGCGAGAGCCCAACAGCACTTCGACGCCGAGGAAGGGCGCATCGCCGCCCAAGGAGACCAACCATCGCAGCGGCGGCGGCGGGAAGAAGAGGAGCAATCTCATCACCTGCGACTCCTCGGCGCTGACGCCGCGATCGGAGCGAGCGAGACTGCTGCCCAGTCACTCGTCCATTAACGATCTGCAGAATCTGCACCCCAAAGAGTCCGCCGGCGAGGCCATGGTCTCGGGCTCCAACAGCGACGACGAGGCGTCGTCCGTGGACTCCTCCTCGGCCGCCTCGTCGAGCTGCGGCGAGGAGAGCAGCAGCAATTCGGCGTCGCCCATGAATCGGCGCCTTCGCCTGGGCGACTTCGTGATGCAGAAGATTGTGGCGAGTCTCGGCCAGGAGGCGGAGGGCGCGACGCCCATGGAGGTGACTTGGTCAGAGGATGGGGAGCAGTATCCGTCGGAGTCGGTTGTTTGACAGGATGACAGCTTCTAGGCTCGAGAGGCGCCGCCGTGAGTCTGAGCAGCTTCTCTCAAGCGTCGATTTCTCATAATTTGCGCGCGCTTTCTTCTCGAATGTTGGCGCAAAACCCGCGACACTGCATGAATCCGTGTTGTACAATTGAATTTTGACTATGAAATATATTGCAGGCAACGCAGTTGCATAGGAATTTGTCATTCAACCCTTGCTCATTGGACAGAGAACCGCGCAGTTGTTGAATAGAAACTAACAAAGAGAGCATGAGAAATAGTCCACAAAAGTGTGAAAAAAATGTATGTGAGATATTAAGTATATAATTTCCACAGTTAAGAGATACCGAAGGAGAAGAGAATCATAATCAAATTTGTTGAATTGTTTTTGTCATTGTTTTTGCTCTGGATTTAATTTCTTGAGAAGATTTATGAAAAAAAAATCCTTTTTACTCTTAAGCTACACTCATGAGATAATCTATTTGCAAGAAAAGATAGTACGTGTTTAAGATGAGAGCGAGAGAGAGAGAGAGAGAAATGGAAAGAAATAATATATATGAAGTCTTTTGAATGCATTTGTTGTGAAGGAATGAAGATGAAGAAAAAAAAACTGAATAAGAAATCTATTAATTATTTGTAACTGTCACTAAGAATGAGATAAAATCTAATGAAATTACTATGAATGTAAACTAGTTTGATTGAGAGATAAATTAAAAAGAAACAGTTGAAATATTCCATGAAAAAAATATCAAAGTGGTTTTATTACTTTTCTCACCGTCTCATTTCGCTTCATTTGGCAAGTCTTGTCGATTTATTCAAATTCAGCTTGAATTGATTAGCAAATAAAAACAATCGCCACATCTCTTATTTTAAGAGATTCCTTGGAAAGAAAATCAGCCTCAATTTTTAATGTTTCTCATCGAATGAAGAGTAGTAAAATTCTGTGGGTTTTCCAATGCATTCGTCATTATTTTTCCACTTCAATCATCTTTACAATTCATCTCACAAGACACATAATTCAATATTGGATAACATAGCAAAGAAAGACGCACATTCAGTCCACTTCGTCTATCCTAGATGCTGAGTATAGACACGCTTAGTCACTGACTCTAGTTGTTCTGGAACTGGAACAGTTCCAGCGACAAGTCCACGGCGGACGACTCGAAGTGCGGCACGGCGTTCGCCAGATCCTCCTCCGTGAGATTGCGTATCTTCTCGCGCACGAGGTCCTCCACTGACTGGAACAGGCTGTCGTCGCTGATGTCGGCCAGGTTGATCTTGCTCGGGTCCACAATGCAGCTGTCCTCGAGCGCGGCCTGAATCTCCGGCAGCTGGCAGTCTGAGTTGAGCTGCACGTCTGGCGTTCCCACTGGATCGGCGTCGGCGTTCAGGGCAGTCATGTTGAATCTGTAGGCGCCTCGGGGGATGGCCAGGACGCGCGCGGCGCTCTCGTCCACCAGCTGAGCCGGGAAGGTGAGATCGTCGGTGAGTAGGCGCTTGGCCAGGAACTGGATGCGCTCCACGAAGTCAGACACCTCCTCCACGAACACCTTGGCGCGATTCTCCACGGCCACGCGGCGCAGCTGCTTCAGCAGGTGCTCGAAGGCGCTGCCCTGGCACGGCTGCTCCGAGTGCGTGAGCCAGTGGCGCTCCAGCTTCTGCTGGCTCACGTAGTACTTCCCGCACAGCTCGCACTTCAGCCTGGCCATCATCCACGACATGCTGCGCGGCTTCTTCGCCACCCGATCCGCCTCCGCCTTGTCCTCAGGTTCAGTGACTTCGGCGGGCGCGGCCGGGCGCATGATGACCTGATTCCCGCGGTAGTCGAGATGAATGTGTCTGGGCGGTCTTGTGAGTCTCCCCGAGCGGGTCCGGGCAGTGGGCACGGGATCCTCCTCCGCGTTGGGCTGATGGAGACTCGTCGGCGGCTTCTTCAGCGTCCCTTTGCGCCGCCCAACTCGGCCTCTGGTCGCTCCCACGACGGCTGCTGCGCCCGCCAGCGCTTCGACGCCCACTCCCGGACAGAGATTTACATCCGTCGGCCGGATGACGCGGTAGAGGACCTTCCTGGGCTGCAGAGGCTTCGCCCGCCGCAGCTCCTCCTCGTAGTGCTGCGGCGTCATGATGCCGCCCCGGATGGTGTCGGCAATGATGATGTTGCGCGGCTCTGGCGTGGTTGGGACAAGGTGGCGGGGCTCGCTGGGCCGGAAGACCCCGGAATTGGCGATGTTGGAGGAGAGAATGGGCTTCAAGTCGCCGTTTTGCACCACAAACAGCCGTTTGGTCGCCGTTGCGCCGTCCGGATCCGCCGCGGGCGTCTCCGTGGCGGTCCTCTTGCGCAGGTAGCATCGCACGTCCTCGGAGCGCTGCAGGACACCCGCGGAGTCGCCCATCTTGACCACCAGACTGCCTGGACGAGTCTTCAGCAGGCTCACGGCTCCGCTGGCGTTGGCATTTCGCCGGAATTTCCGGACATTCACCCGGTTGACAGTCTTGATGTCGCTCAGAGGGATGAACTCGGGCTGAGCGGTGGCGGCGTGGGGCTTCGCGGGCCGGAAGGAGAGCGGATTGGGCGCCAAAACCGCAAAGCAGTTGCGTGGATTGGAGATTTGTATGCAGTCCGGCAGTCTGTCCGGCGAGAGTTGGGGCTCAAACTGAGCCATCAGACTCAGTTGGTTGTTCAACATTGACGCGTGAGGGCGGCTAGGGCGACTCTCCACGTTCCTGACCACGTCTCGCGGCACTTGGCAGGAGGTGAGCAGAGGAAAAAAGAGAAAATAGCACTTTTCACTTTCCCTTTCGCGAGGCTCCCGATTGTCAGTGTCAAAGATTCACAGTACGTGTGGTGAAATCGGTGTCCCAAAAGGTGGTGAGTTGCATTTGAATTTGAATGCTCGGCGTGAAGTTGGTCGCAGACCAGAAACCTAGATTACTTTGAATCTGTTCGGCAGTTGCTACTACTTTCCTTGCATTTCTTTCTGCTTCGGGATATAATAAATTCTCTCTAATTTCCTGCAATTTCCTTACTATCACTGTTCTCTTACTTTACCATAAATCCCATTGAGTATGTTGGCAATCTCAGTGGTGAAATTTCCGTGGCATGAGAAAAGATGATTCCCAGCGGAAGCAATTATTGCTCCCCTTCATATTCCGTGTGGCTTTTCCAACTGCAATCTCGATGCATTTTTCCTTCGCCACATTGCCGCCCATTCCACGGGTTATTTGTCTCCACGGAGGAAAGGTACACAGTTTCTATTTTTCACTTTTACCCAAACCCAGAAATGCAGGCGAGGTAAATCCCGAAAAATGTGGGAGAGTGTCAGAGTAGGGAAATGGGATGCAGTCAGAGTTGCAGAGAGAATAGATAGGGTTTAATCCAAGGCTTAATCATGGATGCTATTTAGCAGCAGAACTTGAAAGAAGTCAATTGTCCTCCAAAATAGCCCTAAATTAATAGAATTAGGGAGTAATTCCATTATGTCATGACTTAATTGCTCACTAGAATGAGATTTGATGCCTTAAAAGAGCACAAAAATTCCCTCAGTTACTCAAAAATTGGCAGTTTCTCGCTGTTCTGCTTCCTCATCATTTTCCTGCTGCTCCTGCACACAGTTTCCAGCAAAAGGATCTCTTCTTTCTCACTTGATCCACTCATTATCATTGGTTTTCTCCGTTTTCCAAATGTGACAATGTAATCGTGTGCGAAACTCTGTCGTAATTTGCTGAGTTGATTTAGACTTCTTTGGAAAGAAAAACCATCAAAGTCTCGTTTCAAATTCTCGCTCCGAATCTAGAAGACTTGTAGCATCCCGACGACAACTCTGGTTCACAGTTCTGGGTCGGATTGCACACATTAAATGGGAGCATGATGTTAGCCAAATAATACACAATTTCGGGGAAGGCGGAGTGGCGAATGTGGAGGCACAGATGAGTGTGTGAAAATTAGCTCTCCATTATTCCGGGCAGCGGCGGCGACTTTTCCCATGCTCGAAGCTGGGCAAAACTGAAAATAATGCCAACAGGGAGAGAGAGAGGACTTAATTGAAACAAATGCAACCGCCGGCGGCACCCGGAAGCCGCCCACCCCCAAATTTCCCCGCGCAAATTTATATTTCCATGCGGTCTTCACTGATTGTTCTAATTTGTTTGAGTGGAATTGTGAGATTTGAGACATTTTCAATGATTTACTGACTCCCGAAACTCGCGCATAAGAGCGAGAGAGAGAGAGAGAAAGGATTTCACTCTCTTTCCCTACAAGTGGAAGCGCGCGAATACTTTATTTACTTAAATTTCTCACTCGCTCCACCTCTTAATTACACACACAGTGTTTCGAGGGAAAGGGAAATATGTGCACAGAGGGTGGCAAATTTCCGTAATTCGATACAGCTTTCTAGCTTCTGGGAAATTCCGTGGGAAAAGGATGATTTCCTCGCGCGCACGCCAATTGTTGTGATGCTGCATATCAGAATTATGCACTGTTGGAAATTGGATTTTAATTAACCAATGCTAGTCATTTCTATGGCTTTTCCGTAAACTCGTCAAAATGTGCATTCGATATCCATTTTAATGAGCATCATTGGAATGTCAGGTAATTAGAAGCAGCACAGGATTCACTTAATCAGACATTATATTTCAATTTATTCACTTTATAAATCGACTGATCAATATTCGCAATAACTATATTTTTAAGCATTATTCAATACGCTTGAAACTTGCAAAATATATTGGCATTTTAAATAATTTTTATGCATAATTCATTTTGTACGCTAAACATTATTGAAGAATAATCGATATAATGGACCAAAATGAGCAAATTGAGCATCAATAGTCACTATAATAAGCTGATTAGAGAACGAAGCATCAGGATTCATAGGCAAATACCCTTCTAATTATGATCTGGACACAATGCTAACGACATGATTGCCTCTCAATTTGCCCATGATGAAGTCAATTCTCAGTTAAGCAATTTAGCAAGATTTCACCCCCAATCCGGAAGGGCTTTTCCAACCATCAGGATCGAATGCGAAATCTGCAAATTGTGTGGCGATGTGAGAAAAGTGCAGAAGAAGAGTTGAAAACATGATGTAGCGAAAGAGGCGCATGAATAGATGTCCAGAGTGTTTAAACATTTATGAAGCACAACAAGCATGAATTCCCAATACAATTACCATGTCAATTCTTCCTGGACAACAATACAACTCGTTAGCAACTATTTAACATGTCTACTGGACCTGATCCAGCGTTGGGGGTGTTTTCCAAGCAAATTGTCACGTCAGACTGCATCTCTGCAACTGCTGGACTTCATTTGCTGCCCTAAATATTATATTATAAATAAATATTATATTATTCTGACTGACCTGATGGGGAAATTGCGAAAACTCTCACCCCAAATGCGGATTTTGCTGCGGAGATAACGCAACCGAGGGTGTTCTTCTGCAAACATTTGCTCTCAGTCTCTTGCAAGGGCGTAATTCAGTGGAAGGTAGGCTATTGCTAATACAGGCTTTGCTTTATTGTTTCTCAGAAATTCACTCCACTGTTGAGCATTGGGAGAGTGTAAATAGGATCAATTATCCCCTTCCAAGAAGCCCTAAATTTGTTATTACCCATTGAATGGTCCACATAATTAGATGCATGCATTGCACCCAAAAATAACTATTGTATGTCTGCTCAAAGTAGTATAAAAGATTGTTAAGTATATAGACTTACAATCGAAAGAATACAACCCAAGTCAAGAAATCGACGCTTACCACTGGTTATCAAATTGTTATAGAGTGAAGGTGAATTTATTAAACACTGTTATCTCTTCTATAGAAATATCCTAATCTGTGTCACCTGGGACAGAAAGAAGTCATTTAATTCAACCACTGGACTTTCAGTGACTTTCTTCAAGGAAGAATAAAGCGCACTATGCGAATGTCTTAATTCCTGAGTAGATTCTTACCGTTGAGAGCGTCTTTAGGGATCTGGAGTGAATTCTGGGGAATCTTCTAGTCATCCAGATTACACAGATATCATTGATAAGTAACAAGTGAGAGTTAAAAATACATTTTTAAGCAGATTTCATCTCTGTCGCCTCCAAACTAGAGCACATTGCATTTAGGCGGTCGGGATTGAAGCTCCGTGAATTTCCTCCCACGCCAGATGCCATCGAACGGATGAGGACAATTTAAATCGCCTTTCCTGCTGTGGGAAGAAATGTGACTCCCCCCGCGGCGCCCTTCCGCTCGCCCCTCTGGCAAATCCACGCAGAAGAATTGAGATTGTTCGAGTGGGTGTCAAGGCAATGTCGTGAGCGATTTTCTGCAACAAACACGGCGCACAAGTTTCCTATCCGGCGCTGAAAAATTTGTACATTAAAATGACAAAATGGAATGTGTGGCACACATGTGAACTTTATCCTGGCATTTTTTGGATATTATAAACTTTTCGGATTCGTATTAAAGTTTTCCCATTCAAATAAATTCCCAGAGACTCTCAACTTTTCTCACCCCCTCTTTCCATTCCACACACACACTTTTCCCCGTTCAGCGTGTCTGGGCTTGTCTCATGAGGAGTAGAGCGCCTCTTCGGCATTTTGCACTCAGATCACATCACACAATATTCCATTTCGACACACACTTCGTGTTGTACAATATAATTCCTGTGTTTCCGACCAGCCGCTTCGCAAACAGCGAGTCTGGCGAACAATGAAAAACCCTTCAATATCACTTTTCGCCGGATCAGACGCGATTTTTTCCAATTCCACCCCGCAAAACCATCTCACGGGCGGCGGCAAAGTTTGTGGGAATGGGCAAAATTTTGGGTGTCTGTTTGTCGGGGAATTTCTCAAACTCAAGATGAAAATTGCGCTGTTACTATAAAATGATGATAAATCTGGTGAGTGGAGAGTGAAAATGTGTGGACAGAGAATTCGCACTGTTCCTCACTTTGGGTTGAGCGAAAGTTCTCGCAACTTTGACAAATTATTGAGGACAAACCCCGGACGGGGAGGAAAATGTGTGTGTGTGTGTTGGCGGACATCCGCCTCAGACGCGCAAAGTGTGTCATTTTTCATTTTTGATGTTGACACAGCGAAGGGAATTTTATCAATTCACAGCGAAAGATTAGGTGATGTGTACTGAAAAATCAGCAAGTTTTTGCTGACAACTCCGAGACATTGTTGGTTTTGACTTGGTAAACAGATAAAGGATTGAAAATCACGAAGAGATTGAAGAGAAACAAAGTGACAGAAGAGAAACTTTTAAATTATGGAGTGATTCTCACTCAAACATACAAATGTTAAACTTCAAACATGTAAAAGGTTAAAATTCGAAATCAATAAATAAAAACAGCCCTTGGTATTCTCTCTAAAACAGTGAAAGAAAGTTGCAATTTGCCAAAATTAGGAAAAAGCAATGATAAGTAAATTTTCTCTTCTTTAAAATCTGTTATTCTGCTTTCTACAGACGTAGTAAAACAACCAACGGAGGTTGTTTGAGAATTGCAAATTCGCGAGTGGTGAATTTCTTAACACAATCGCCGTTTAAAATCCGTGTGACTCAGAATAGCAAAGACTGTTTTAAACTAATACAATACATTTTTCACATTTCTTGTTTGACTGGGAATCGGTTAATTAGTCTACTGAGCCTCTAAAAATGACTCATACAGAAAGTGCATCTCATATTTCACAGCAACCAGTATTCATTGGGGCTATCAAAAAATTTCTCCCTTCGAGGCGAAAAAGATGTTACAAGAAGACCCATAAATTTTCCCTCTAACGTCTTTCTGTGAAAAAAATTATCGGAAAATGAAATTTATTGAAATTTCAGTGGGT